AAAGAGAGGAGGGACAGAGACACATACAGAGAGAGGTGTTGGCGAATGGGAAACACATTTTGAGGAAAATGGAAAAGTAGACAACTGTTTATGATCATCCAAACATAACATCATTCATCAGAATTGTTTTGTAATTGATTAGGTCATGATGACTTTGTCCTCAAGGTATTCCATTTTTGGAACAAGAAATAGTTTTTTTGATGATTAATACATGTTTCGTCACCCCCACAGTTTATGTCCTTACCACCTAGTACCTCTCTCTCATACTCCTTCTCTCTCTCTCTCTGTCACTCTTTCTATTCTCCTCATTTTTGTTTTTTGTACTTTACTTAATAAATCCATGATAATAGTAGACAATATGAGATTATATTTAAGTGTTCATTCATAGAGTAGTTTGTCATTACGTTTTTCCATTTCGAGAAGCAAATAGCTGATTCATTCCTTTTGTGTGTTTTCAACGTTAGGTAAATGTCCATCATCTTTGCCTTTTTTGTCTTTTTCTTTTTTCTTTTGGCGAAAAGCTGTAAGCGAAGATAATATGAAGAAAGAGAGAAAAAGAAAGGAAGATTGTAAGAGAGAGAGAGGAACGGGTGAATGGAGTACAAAGAGAATGAGGGGAATACACCCCTCAATGAACATAACAGAGAAAAAAAGAGGAAGAAGTGTAAGCTGATGCTGTTGATGCCTGAATAAGCTTGGGGCTCGGCATGTGAGTAAAGCTTTTCCGAGAAGTTCTCGAAGGTAAATTGACTGAACGATTTACTTTTGTTTTCTTATTAATCATTCACTTGTGTAGTTTCCTCATTAAGATGTACATGTGTGTGTGTGTATGTGTGTGGCTGTCTGTGGCTGTCTCATTCTCTATCCACTCTCTCTATCTCTCCCTCTCTCTCTATGGAAATGTATCTCTCTCTCTCTCTCTTTCCATTTAAAGTTATATAACAGAAAAAAGGAAAGATAAAAGATGAAAATCTTTTTCGATTTTTGAAATCTTTCATCTCAGTTTTTTTGTTTCTCAGTTCAGCTTTTCAATTTCTGCATATTGTAGAAAATGAAATGATTGTTTCTCTTTCCTTTGAAGTATTCTATGAGCTTCTAGTTTGTGTTATTGGAGATTAAGGCAAAAAAAAACTTTTTTTTTACTCCATTTTCGGTCTATTTGGGACCTTTTATTGAAAGTTGTACGAATGGAGTACAAAAGCTTCAAGTCACATTACCATCTCTCATACCCCCACCCCCCACCCTCCTGTTCCTCTTCCTCCACTCCTTCTGCTAGTTCCCTGTCTCTATTTCTCTCTTATTTTCAGTTCTTGTGAGGTTTTCTTCTTTTTCGTCTTCTTAGTCTCCCACCTTCCCGTTCCTGTAATGTGTGAGGTGTGTACATGTGTGTGTGTGTGTGTGTGTGTGTGTGTGCATGTGTATACAAGTGTTGGTAACAAATATTTTATTGTTTATTCTGTTATTTATTATTAAGATTTATTGATTAATGAGTTTTATACTTCAATCAGTTAAAATCGTTTAACGTTTGACTGATTTTGGACAGAAAAACGACAATTTCATTTCATTCGTCGGTTCGTCTGTTCTCGTGCGTGCCCATGACGTTCACATATACACAGGTCCTTCCCCGAGAAGTGGGGTTTTCCTTACACATTCTCTCTCATACGCTCTCTTCGTTTATGATACTCTCTATGGCATGTTCTTCATGTGATTTGATAGTTGATTATCAAAGTAATCATTCGATTATAGTGACAAGCGTTTATTGCAAAATGAGAATATTAAAGAACTGTGTCAAAGAGGATGAGTTCTGTTGGCTCGCGCTTGCATCAGTTTTTGATTGAACAATATCAGCTGACCATATTTGTAATTGAGCCTTAGAATCAGCTGAAAAACTGGATGACATATGAAGCTTCAAATCTTTCCGTCCGCCGCTTATTTTTTTCGCTTTTGCTTTCCCTCTTTTGCTTTCTCCATTTACCTCTTCTCTCTTTCTCTCATCCACTTCTTTATCTTTTTTTCTCTTCCTCTCTTCCTCTCTCTCTTTCACTCTCTAACTCACTCGCTACCTCATTTTTCCGTTTGGCAGACACGTGTCTTTCCTTCTTTTGCATCGAGTGGATGGCTTCTCAACTTTCTGTTAGGGCTTCTTCGGTTTTCTGCAATAGAATTCTCTCACGCCACACTTGGCCGATAAGACCATCAGATGATTGTCGAACGTTTTGTTATAAAAATGGTCATTTATGGTGTGGACAGCAGAAAAGTTTCTTGTCCAAAATATGTTTTCTCATCAATGTGTTTCCTTCGCTTCCGTCATCATTTCTCATTCGATCTCATTTTTTGGATTAAAAAGAAGAATTGTTGTCGATTCTTTTATGCTTCCTAAGAAGCTCTCCAAGGAAGAGAGTGAGATGAAACTATGAGGAATGTGAAAGAGTGAGAAAGGGGAGGAGAGATGTAAAGACATACCCATGATGTGAGGTTAGTATCCGGTTCAACTAGTGTGTTGTGAGCCGAAACAATTCTTGACATCTCATATGGACTATGCCGGAGTCAGTTATCACTTCCTCTGATAAACGCTCTCTCATATCTATAGTGTGCTTTTGAGACTTTTCTGTTTTTGTAAATGAACTCTGAGAATTAATCAGACCAAAAGCTGAAACGGTATTGAACAAGACAAAAGCGATGAAGATGAAGCAGAAGTGGATAATGAAGATGAGGAGTGAAAGAAGAGTTTAAACATCTCCGCTCATCTTATCCACTTGCTCTTTTCCCTTTTTTTGCATTCAACAAAATAGTTTTCATCTTCTTTCTTTATCTTTGCAAAAAAGACATTCCCAGATGACCGGTGGTTTCGATACTTCGCTTGATCTGTGATGTTCCTTCTCATTAACGTGAATGAAAGTTTGCTGGCAGTACTTTGAGAATCCTTCATTGTTCCTGAATTTATGTCCTTCACATCACTTTTCTCTCTCAATCTGTCTCTCTCTCCGTCTCTCTCTCTCTTTCAGCCTCCTCTTCCCTTTCTCTCCATCTCTCTATTTGAATTTTTTACTTTGGAGATTCATTAGCGTAGTGTAGTAGCAATAGCAGCAACATCTACCTTCGACTGTTTCTTTGCCAACCAAAACTATTTTGGAAGCTTTTGCTGCTGCTGAAGTAGAAATGTAATGTTCTCTCACCATTCAAATCAGGTGAAGCTGAGAGATACAAAATTTTGTAACGGAAGTACAAGAGTGGACAAAATCTTTTACACTCTTTCTCTTGCCATCTCAACCTTCATCCATCTATCTATCTATTCGCCCGCCCATACCATTTTTGGTCAAAAAATTGTTGTCTTCTGTTCGTTATCTCAAAGTTCGAAACCAATTGTTGAACACTTTTTTCATTTGTCTGTCTGAGCTTCTTTGCATGTCGCTCTCTTCCTTTCAACACTTCAACGGAGTAGGTTGGCCTTCTCCAAAAATTATTTTATAATGACCTGATTGTTCTGATGTGTCTATAAATATTGTTGCTTTTTCAATTCTTATCATTCTCAATAACCACTGCCCCGTCCATTTTTCTCTCTGTCTCCCTCTCTCTCTCTCTCTCTCCCTCTCTCTCCTAATTTCTGTTCGTCTTCATCATCATCTTCTTTTTAACAGACTGCCCTCCCCCTTTTTCCATCTATTGGTTTCATCTCAATCATCACACTCACACACATACACACACACACACACACATCGTAGACGATAACTGATTCAAGAAATTCCTTTTGTGGACATTAAGCAGCAATTTCTAGCAGCTTTGTGTTTATTTTTACTCAAAAGCTTTTCGTGTCGTTTCTCCTTCCCAGTTTTCTTTTCTTAAACTTCTCAACTCGTTGTCGTTCACCTCATCCCAGCTGAAACCTCATGTAGTCATATTCTCTGTCAATTCTGAGAATTTTCTAAAAATATTTAGTTTTTTATGTGTCTTGAGCATTCTCTGTTTTCGTTCCTTCTGACAACCTTTCCTCTTTCCCTCCCTCCTTCGCTCTCCCTCCCTCTCTTCCTCCCTCTCTCTCATTTGCGACTTTAAACTTAATAAAACCCTCGTTGGCCCCATCAACACCGCTAAATAGCCTTGAGGTCTTCTGAACACACAAAATCCTTTGCATGTCTTCATTTCATTTCTCTTTAAAAGTTTCAAAAATCGACATTCATTCAGCCTAACACACATAAAAAGCAAATGCATCAGAAGAAGATAAACGCAAGAAAAAAACGACTTTAAAGAGATTGAGTATGATTGAGAGAGATGAAAATACGAAGAGAGCAAAAAAAAAAGAAAAAATGTGCACAAGACAAGATGAGGAGGACATGTGGCAGTTGCTGTCCCGAAGTACTCTCTGGGCCTACGTCTTTCTTCAGCAAGCTATTTCGGGCTGCTCTGCCCCTGCTGCCTCACATCCGTTGTTGTCCTCGTTTTGGAAATAAAATTGTGTCTTAAAACGAAAATTCATTTCTAAATAATTTTTTTTTTCAATACTTCTCCATTTTTTTTACTTCTATCTATCCGCCTGTGTGTGTGTGTGTGTCTCTGTCTGTCTCCCACTCGTTGTCGTCCTTTTTTTCCAGCCAAAAATAACATGATGTGGGGTGCTTTGGAAGTTTTTTTTGTTCCACACCAAGTTTTATAACAATTTGCATTTCATAAAAAGCTTTTCGACTCAATTAGCTGCGCTTTTGAACATTTTTCAATTGTCCTTTCACGATGTCTAAGAATACCCACGCACACTTACCTTCAGCACATTCAATGCTCGTTGCCTATTCTGATTTGTTTACTTGTTTATTAATTATGCTTTATCATCTATATCTCTTGAATTCTTCTCGTCTTCGTTTTAAGCATCGTCTTGACAAGTTTATAACAACAACAACAAAATAGTTTTTATCTGAAGACTGTAGCCGTTCGCCAGCATTTTGCCTGATTCTCAACTCATCGACATCACCATCACCAACATCATCATCTTCATCTTCATCTTCATCATCATGTCTTTCTTCGTCAACACTGCTTACATTTGTATGGAAATGATGTATAATCCATTTATACTTCTATTCACTATCTGTGAGTATAAATTTTTTTTTTCTTTTCCTTATTATTTTGTGCTGACCCTCTCAGCTTCCTTCCCTTGCTCTTTCCATCTCTCGCTCTCTCTCTCTCTCTCTTCCACTTCTTTTCCACCTATTTCCGAAGAGAGCAGTGCTTGTTGTTTGAAATGAAAATGAGCGAACGATTTGCCAAAATAGATCATTTAAGAAATAATTAAAAACAGACATTCATACGCGCTCCCAATCTACATCCCCCCATTCCCCTCACACCATATTAGAACATCGTAATTGTTATCTTTTCGATAATTTTATGATAGTTGTGCTGTTTTGGCATACGGTAGCGAGTTTTGTAAGAAATACGTTAATTAGCGTTTAGTTTGCATCGCATGTACCAGCTTCAAAGCTTGTAGCTTGTACAATGCTGTCTAGTCGGAAAACCAAAAAGATATCCCTCCCCCACCCTATCCCTCAACATATTTCATTTTTTTTTGTTTTTCTTCCTTTCCAAAATAATTTTTTTCATTCTAGGGGGATGGTTCAAATGGCTCTCATTGAGTTCAGTTATTATTGCTGGAATCACCTATTTGGGCTACCTCTTCACACCCGATTGGAGAGAAATTGTAGATAGCAAGCACTACTATTCGAATTGGAAGGTATCCCCGCATCTTCTGACCAAAATTATTTTTAAAATGCTTTTTTTTCAGATTAGAACTTATTTGTCTTTTCCATTCAATATAGCCTCTCGAATCGTTGGAGGCCTAGCCAGTCAAGAGCTCCCTGTATGGCTACGGGAGCCAGTTTTTGGCATTTTCGCCAAATTATACGACTGTAACATGGAAGAGGCTATCAAACCAGATTTGAAGGTAACCGATTCTTTGTGGAAAGAAGTTTTGTTTTTTCGTTTTGTAGGCTTATCGATCTTTCTCCGAATTCTTTAATCGTAAGCTGAGAGAGGAAACTCGCCCCATCAGTAACAGCCCATTGGTGAGTTGTCGTTATGAACTTTCTTCGACATTTTCTTATATGTAGGTTTCACCTGCTGATGGTATCGTTCTTCATTACGGTAAAGTCGAAGATGGAAAAATCGAATACGTCAAAGGACACGATTATGATGTTGCTTCGTTCCTTGGAGACATTGAGCTGACTGATACGGTTAGTCTTCGGTCAGAGATCTTATTCTCATCTTCATTTTTCAGGACGAACTTGATCTTTATCAAGTCGTAATCTATTTAGCTCCTGGAAACTATCATGCTTTCCACAGCCCAGCTAGATGGTCTGCCAGCCAGTGTCGCCATGTTCCAGGTAGTGATTGCGGAAACAATTTCTTTCAATGCATTCATTCTTAGGTCTTTTGCTCTCCGTCAAGCCTTCTTTGTTGTGCCATGTGCCGCACTTGTTTTGTTTGAACGAGCGAGTTGTTCTTAATGGATCGTGGAAACATGGTTTCTTTTCAATGTCCGCTGTAGCAGCCACGAACGTTGGAGACATTGTCATTGATGCCGAGCCAAACTTGAGGACAAACGTTTTACGTAGAAGAAAAGGCAAGAAAGTTGAGCTTGCTGACGTCCCCATGTGTGCTTCCTACCATTCGGGACAACGAGTTGGAGAATTCAGACTGGGCTCTACTATTGTTCTGGTGAGTGAAGAGTGTGAATGAAATCATTTTTCAATGCGTGTTTAGGTTTTCCAAGCTCCTCCTACCATCAAGTTCTCGATTAAAGCTGGAGATCCTCTTCAGTACGGACAGAGCCTCTTGGCCGAAGAT